AAAAAAAAAAAAAAAAAAAAAAAAAAAAAAAAAAAAAAAAAAACGCGTTTACAACAACCCCGACGAACAACCAAAAACAAGTGTTCAACGAAGTCTGCAGGAGTCTTCTTCTTCCTCCTCGCCACCTCATACCCCTCCCTGACTATGGCTGCCGTAGCAGCAGTAATCCCACAGCTGTCACAACATGCCAATCTGAACCAGCAACCCCAATAATAGCAGTGCCAGCTCAGCTTCTGCAAGGACGTGCAGCGCTGGAAGTCCTGATAAAAAAGAAGGAGACAACCCACCCAGCACTTCGAAGAAGAGAAAGACGAAGTTCCTCATGAAGAGGAACAACAGATATGGCTGCCAAGTGAAGGAACGCAGCGCCCAAACCCAACAACACGGTCCGGTGGAAGCTCTCGTGCAGAGCTGCTGAATAGCAGCAATGCGACCTCCAACTTGGTATCCAAGCCCCAGCTATGGCTGGGCCTCAAGGAAGAAGATGCCCTCGCCCGAAATAACGCAGCAACGCTTCGATAACGAACGAAACACGAGAAAAGACCCGAACTAATTTTCCTACCCGCTACTTCTACCCTCCGCCTAGAGCTACGACGGCTTCCCCAAAGGAACAACCCAGAACCTATCTGTATCTAGATGGAAACACGGGAAAAGGGACCTAGACCTATGACGAGGCAAAAAAAAAACGCCAAAAGGCCTAGGACTACCAAACAGAGACTACTAGTGACAGACGCAGGGATCAAGCCCCATACGGCACAACACTCACAAACAAAACACACAGGTTACAGGTCACGGGATCAAGTCCCGCAATGTTCAAAACACACAAACAGCAAACAAACAGGCAATACTGCAATTCATTGCATGTGGATGCGGTCCTGTTTGTCCGAGGTAGGTAATGTGAGGTAAAAATATGTCTGATCCCTTGCTTATCTGGGGTAGGTAGTGCGAGGTACAATACTGAGAGAAGATGATAGCATACTAAGCATAGTGAAAAAATGCGGTTGCCCCCCATATGCATTTACTTTAAACAAAAAAACTGTACGTGCTTTTTTTTTAAACATAAAATGCAGGCTTTCTTCTCCTCATTCAAGGGGTTGTGACGTGGTCAACGGTCTCTGTGTGAAGCCTACAGGATTTCCTTTTTAAGTAAGCGCAGGTTCGAAGAGCAACTCATTATGACCCCTTTCATAAGGGCAGGCAAGAAGCACAGGTGAGATGCGCGGGAAAGATCCTTCTCTGAATGAAACAGATGATTTATAGATTCATCCATGATTGTTGGCCATTTCCTTGCCTTGTTAACCAGGATGACGTGCCCCTTGGGGGTAAGGCCTTGTTATGGATGAGGGTCATGTGCTGGATTCAGAGCGAGTGTGCAAGAAAATGCTGTGGGTGGCATTGTGTGTGTGAGAATGAGTGCGGCCACTGCAGCCATGCAGGGGTGGGGTGGATATCGCGACCCGTATGGTTCCACTTTCGAACACCGTGTCATGACAACAGTGGTTACTATGCTTGCCACTTGAGGTCAAGAGTGCACGATCGCACCCATGCGCGGTAAGATGTGGATCTGAGGCCGATAAAAGTACCGATCCTTTAGGAAAAGGGAAACAAGAAATGGAGAAAACAACAGAAGAGAAACAATATACACAACCAACTTTCAACAATTCCACCCCACCAGCTGGCCTTCTAATCATCATCATCATCATCATCATCATCATCATCATCATCATCTGCAGCAGCAGGAGGACAAGGAGGAAATGACAAGGCAGTGGAGTGCTATTTAGGTAAAGAGCCTTGAAGGGGTGAAACCTCTCTGTAGAGGAGGAGGAGGAGGAGGAGGAGGAGGGAGGAAGAGGAAGACGAAGGAGAAGAACAACGAGTAGGAGGGAGAAGAAAGAGGACGAGAGGGAAGAGAGGGCAATGCCAAGGCACTGGAGTTCTGCTTGAGTGAGGTGCTGAAGTCTCTGTAGAGAATGAAGAGGAGGAGGAGGAGGAGGAGGAGGAGGAGGAGGAGGAGGAGGAGGAAGACGAAGGAGAAGGAGGAGTGAAGCCTCTCTGTAGAGGAGGGGGAGGAGGAGGAGGAGGAAGGAGGAAGGGGAAGACGACGGAGAAGAACGAGTAGGAGGGAGAAGAAAGAGGAGGAGAGGGAAGAGAGGGCAATGCCAAGGCACTGGAGTTCTGCTCGAGTGAGGTGCTGAGGTCTCTGTAGAGAATGAAGAGGAGGAGGAGGAACACGGAGGGAGGAGAAAAAGGAGGACGGATTTCAGCAACGAAAATAGTTTACCACGTTAACCACTGGTGGACGGATGGCAAGAGGGCAATGAGCAGGCACTGGAGTTATATTACTTCAATTAGGCTGAGGTTGTTAAGCCTCTCTGTATGATTCATACCTGTATAGAATTGAACACCTGGTGCATTGGTGTAGATCTCCAAGGAAAGGTCCTTTGCAGGTGATGACACTTCAACAGCAAGTACAACATCCTTGACATCTTCAAGAAGACCGGGCCACTTCCCATCTAATGGCTTCTTGTGCTTGTTGATCACATAGTTATTGTCATACCCTCCTGCCTCGTCAATCGTATCACCGATCTGATGCTCATTCGTGAAGTCCAAGGGTGTGCCAGCCACCTGCAGGCAATCGCATCAACAATGTGACTCAGTCCTTTCCTACCTTCGTTCACCTATCAATTAAACAGATCCACATCCCTCCCTTCCTAGCTATCTACTCTCCTACTTACCTCCTTCACTCCCTACCTACCAACCTACCTACTTACATCCACCTCCCTCCCTCCCTCCCTCCCTCCCTCCCTCCCTCCCTAGCTATCTGCCCTCCTACTTACCTCCTTTCTTCCCTCCCTACCTACCTGCCTACCTACTTACCTCCCCCCGTACCTAGCTACTTCCCTATCCACCCACCCACCTCCCTCCCCACTTCCCACCGTCACCCTTTTCATAAAGTTGGCATAAATCAATCTAGCTGATTCTATCAGCTAATGCACACGAGCAAATGGAATAACAAACGATCGACAGCGCAAAGGAATGAACAAACAAATGAAATGAAATGGAATGAACACAAGGCCGAGTCATCGCTCTTGAGATTTCCTGTTCGAAAGACAAACGTGTTCATTGTAATGAACCCAGCAATCGCGAGAAGCTTCAACAACAGGGACGTGCATAAAGTCTCAGTGCACTCACTGTAGAACCAATCCCAATAGAGGACAAGTCATGAAGCACTCAATGAACTCCCAAACTCAGCAGCGAGTAACCAGAAATTTGAGACAAAGGTAGAGAAGCAGTAGAGAGAAGGAAGATAGTTTCACTAATAATCAATCATTACACTAGATAGTTTCATTCATAATCAATCATTAGTACACTTGGATCAGCTCTTTATATTCCTTCTTCTCCTCCAGGTCCTCCTCATAGTTTCATTAATAATCAATCATTACACTAGGTAGTTACATTAATAATCAATCATTACATTAGAAGTGACTAGATACTTTCATTAATGATCAATCATTAGTACACTTGCATCAGCTCTTTATATTCCCCCTTCTCCTCCAGGTCCTCCTGCCCACAAATCGCCACCTCCGATCAGGTACCATAGGATTTTAGAGATTTGCAAGGTAAAAAAAATACCTGTAATTATCTGGACTACCAGTCTACCACACAAATACCAGCACGACATCCACAACCCCACCAATGGCTGAGATTGCTAGGACTTGGTTCATCAACTTCATCTACCAAATCTTCCAAATGATTGTTGAATGTAGAAACTCTAAGCGCCTTTCCAGGAGTCATGTTCCCAGGCTTATTCTTGATTGTCTGTTTTACGCGCTTGATTCAATGTCCTTCTTTTTTGTTTTGTAAATCTTTGCACAGTATGCATACCTTATTCAATTGAATCTCTAATTCAGGCTGAATAATTTCACTGAACATTTTGACATCTCCTTTGGTGAAAAATGCTATCAAATCCGAAAACTTCTGATCTTGGATTCGTGATATGTCACTCATGGTCAACCTTTGTATCAACTTTCAACCAAGTGCTTTCTCTTTCCAGTCTCGAGTCTCGACCCTTCATGATAGCGCAGGACCTACCAACCTGTATTTTGTACTTGACTGACTGAATGGATCTTAGGACCCAAAGTCTGTCTGCAAGATGCGCAGTGGCAAGTATTGGGAGTCTCCTTGGGGTTGGTCAGGGCTCAGTTTCACTGCTTCTGATCGGGGAGCAGAGATTGCTACTAGAAAATAATATACGAAGCGGATGTAATGCATCCTATGGTTCGAATTCGTGGGATTCAGACGCGAAGCGTCTGGTCTTTGAGCCTGGTTATATTTCACACAGAACAGAAGGCAGATGGGCGACTTCTATTCCACATTGATTCGATGCAGTAGTGGATATAAGATGACACCAAAACAAACAAAACAAAGACATATTTGATGATTATTAAAACAAACACTCTCTAAAGAAAGAAAAAGACAATTTTGTGTTACTTCATGCAAGTTCATGGTGAATATAGTCCGCTAGACCTAGCTGGCGCGTTAAACGCTCCGCCTGGGGAGTACGGTCGCAAGGCTGAAACTCAAAGGAATTGACGGGGGTCGGCACAAGCGGTGGACAAGCCCCAGGTAACTTCAGTTCTGACGCTAAGCCCCTTTCTCTTCTCAGTTGCCGGCAAACAAGCACTGGCGTTGGAGAAGAGAAGCACTACCCCATATTTCTCATATATTGCATTCGTTGCAGCCAGTTTCTCTGTTGGGCAGCCGCATGTCACCAATTCCTCTTCAATGCCATCTTTTTTTTTGTTTGTTTGTTAGTTTCCGATGCCATCTTTGTTAATCGCCTTTTGCCAAAATTTGCCGAAGTTTTCGGTATCTTTTTCACATTTTTACATTAGCGGACTCGAGCAGGAAATGAAGAGTTGGGCGATCCATGGTTATGGCCTTGCGCCATTGTGAGGTGCCGCTGCTGCTGTTTTGTAGGTTGTGGGTGTTTGCCTGGCAGGATTGAGCTGTGGCAGTGCTGGCTTGGGAGAGCAATCCATGGTTATGGCCTTGCGCCATTGTGAGGTGCCGCTGCTGCTGTTCGGCTGCCTTGTCCTCATGCACCGGCTTGATTGCCAGGGGTTTGTCATGACGTCCCATTCTCCTGAAGCCTTAGGTCGAAGCTCTGTCAAATGCGAGAATGTTTCCGATCGTATGAGCTGGGGAAGAATGAATCTGGGTCGGGCAGGCGGACGAGTCCACTCTAGAGAAGACAGCCAGGATTTCCGTCACTGTGAAACAAAGACGCGAACGTTCTTGCTGCCTAGAAGCGCACCCGAGGGCGCGCACACGATGGATATTACGCCCTTTGCCAGCTGTTAGGTCATGGCGTGATGTCTCGCGTACAATTACACCCTTTGCCAGATGGTAATGGTGATATCTCTCCTGTAAGATTTGTCGTCGGTTAGGTGCCACAGATCCGATTGGAATGGTGCGGTGCGGCAAGCACGAACGTGCAAAGATGCAGCAATGGGACAGGGTGCTGGCGTGACAGCGCAGCGCCACACTGCCCAAAAGTGAGGTCCAAACTGCACTTTAAAGACGATGGCCCATTGGTAATTTTTTATTATTTGATGGATAAATTGGATAATAACCTATTAATAGGATATCATATTATCACCAAAGATCCTAGCACAGTTGGTACACCCATGAAACTGTTGAAATACAGAACCAAGTTTGAATCCAGATGCAATGAAATACCTGAGGCTCACAGCTGTCGGCCTTCAGGGGATTGAAAAAAAAAAAAAAAAAGTAATAAAAACTTAAAAAAAGAGATATCCTATTTATCCATTAATTATGCAATATGGATCACATACAACAAGGCACAAGACCTGATGGCCATGTATCTTCTCATATATCGCATCAATAAAGTGCAGTTCTGTGGCAGCTAGCCAGCCGCATCCAACAAGAAAGCTATTTCTTTCAGAGTCCTTCAGAGTGATACTATGCACGTGCTGCAAAAGGTTTCTTGGCCCCATTGCTCGTCGTTATAATCAAAGATGTTTGCTTTGTTTTCTAAAAATCCAATAAACAGGGAAGAAGACATTGAGATAAATGGAGAACTCAAGCAAGATGAGAGTAGATGAGAGTCATCAGGCAGTGGAAGACAGACAGACAAATGATCTTCTTAACTGGATCTATCTTGCCCGTTGGGATGAGCTCACTGTCCGTAGGTGTGTAGCTGTCAGCATTCAGGACTACCCAATGCTCCCGCACATCCCCTGAGTCATGCCCTGCAAGGTTCCAATACCTGAACAAAACACGGTCAAAGCACGGTCAAAACATGGTCAAACCATGGTCAAACCATGGTCAAAGCATGGTGAAAGCATGGTCAGAGAGAATGGTAAGAGAATGGCCAGAGAATAGTCAGAGAATGGTCAACACATGGTCAACACATGGTCAAAGCATTGTCAAAACATGGTCAAAAGTCCAGCAAGTTTTTTTTTTTTTTTTACTCATTAATTATTGCCTGTAAGTAAAAGAAAAAAGAACTTCATAGAAGCTGAAGGAAGTGTCCTTCAGGACATCATAGCCATTAAAGAATGAAACGATAGAGAGAGGAGTATTGCTAGCATAGCCTCTGTTCAGGAAATGACACACAGAAATCGAGAATTGGTCCATATTAAAAATGAATTGGAAAAAGGCCAAGCTGGCAGTAGTGAGGGGGCTAGCTGGTAGGATGGAAATAGGGTATAGCAGCAGCGGAGATGGTGGCTCTGCTGCAGTAAGTCTTGCCGGAGTGGGGTAAAGAGGATTGATGGGGGGGGTTTCTGAGTCGTTCTGCTTATTTCTGAAGTTTGTCATAGTCATTTCCTAAGCAGCTCCAATTTTTTCTGAGCCAAAGCCGGGTAATGGCCCCGGTATCTCAATTTTCAAAATTCTATGTAAACTTCCATATGGGACGCTGGGCCCGGTTCCCAGCACGTGCTGCTCCCCACGAATAGACTGGAGCTTTGTTCCCATTAAAAAGAAAAAGAAAAAAGCTGGCAGTCAATCCTCCATGAAAATGGAGAAAGCAATGCTATTCAGGGGTTCTTCACCCAGACGGAAGGAAACGTGCGTGCGTATCTTGTTTTATTCTCATGGCTTGCCCGGGGAAAGGGAACCGGACTGACGCTCCCTAGAATGGACATGGAGCCAGGACCGTAAGGCCCTGTTTGTTGTTTTCCTGATCCTGTCCTAATCCTAACCCTATTAAAGGGAAAAGCAGTCCTCGCGTGACGCCCCCTGCGGGCCCAAGAAAATCCAGTGGGGAGGCGGTACCGGAGGGCCGTACTGTGCTTGGGAACGCGCGGCTGTATCGAACATTCGGGGACCGATTCCACCGGTGATGGATTTTGCTGGAAATGCGCCATTTTGCTTTCCCCCGGGAGCCGCCGCATAGCCTCGCACCGCGCCCTGGGAAGGCTCTGCGGGCGGCGTCCGGGGGTGGGGGGCGATAGGGGTGGTGCGGGTGGGGACGATAGGAGTGGCGGAGTTGGGGGCCGATGTGACCAATGTTCGAATACAAGTACATAGTAGGCAGGGAGCAAGGACGATGAACATGACCAGGATGAGAGGCAGGAGGAGGGGAAGCACGGTGAGGAGGGAGCCAAAGAGGACGCAGCAGGAGTTGCAGGAGGGACGGGAGGAGGAGGAACGACATAACGAGCGGGGGCAGAAGGATGGGGAACAACGAGGAGGGGGAAGGCGACAAACACGAATGGGAGGAGAGGGGCGTGGAGGAGGAGGAGCGCCGTGGGAGGAGGGACGGCATAATGAGTAGGAGCAGGAGGATGGTGAAGGATGGAGGGGGAGGCTGAACAGGAATAGGAGGAGAAGGGGGTTGAGGAGGACGAGCGCGATGAGGAGGGAGGGGGAGAGAATGCAGCACAAGCGGGAGGAGGGATGGGAGGAGGAGGGACGACATAGCAACCGGGAGCAGGACAATGGGGGAGGATTAGGAAGGGAAGGATGAACAACATGAAGAGGAGGAGAAGCGGGAGGAGGAGGGGGAGCGTGGTGAGGAGGGAGAGGAGGGACGGCGTAGCGAGCGGGAGCAGGAGGAAGGATGAGGAGGGGGAGGACGACGAAAACAAACAGGGGGAGAAGCGGGAGGAGGAGGACGAGCGCGGTGAGGGGGGAGAGGGCACAGCAAGGAGTTGGAGGAGGGCCTGGAGGAAGAGGGACGACATAACCAGCGGGAGTGGGAGGATGGGGAAGGGTAAAGGGGGTGAGGACAACGAACACGAACACGAACACGAACACGAACGCGAACACGGTCATGCTTTTCTTGTGGAGGTGCGTAGAACGAACATGACAACACACACACATGACGATGATGAGGACAAGGATAACACCTGATGACTACAACAACAAGTTGAACAGGGCGATGGATGGTAAGTTGAAGGTGGAGACGGAGGAGGGACGAGGATGGCGGAGGGGGATGAGGGAGGCCAACAATGGAGGGAGCAGAGGGGAGGATGGCACAGTCATGCTTTTTTTGTGGAGTTGCATAGGGCAAACTGGATGATGTTGGAGAAGAAACACAAATAATGACCTACAGGAAATAGCAGCTGGCAGGCAGGCAGGCGGGCGGGGAGTTCTTTTTTTTTCTTGATGCACGACTTTCCCGACGTTCTAGAAACAGTTTCGGTGTTGTGGAGTGCTTTCTTTTTCCATTTTTGGCTGCCATTTCTCAACGGCTTGCAGGGAGCGATCCGCTTGGTCCACTACTCAGCGGATGGGGAAAATGAGAATGAATCTTCAGTTGGAACACGGAAAGTACACTGTCATGTTTTTTAGTCTTTTGCACACACGCACAGAGAGAGATAGATAGAGATAGATAGATAGATAGATAGATAGATAGATAGAGAGAGAGAGAGAGAGAGAGAGAGAGAGAGAGAGAGAGAGAGAGAGAGNGAGAGAGAGAGCACCCCACCACTGCGCCACCCACGGGCGAAGCCGTGGCGGGTCCACTTGTTTTTTTTTAATAATGAAATGAAAAAAAAAAACAGCTCTACGAAGTGGGCCAACACGGTTCATCAGGGCTGTTAGAACAAAGAGTAGCCGGTGGTTTATCAAAGTGCAACGCTTCAGCCACCTTGTGGCACGTCCCGCAGCAGATCTTGATTACATTGTCACAATGATGTGGTTTCGCTAATCATGGTGTATATGCCGGATCATTTCTAGAGCCCGTCTTTTCCATTCCATTCCTGTGGCTACCGTCTTCACCCGAATATGACGCCTGGTCATCATCGCTGCATTTAGACTCAAAGTTGCCCCAAATACCAGCTATAATGACCGGGCGTTCTATTCAGGTGAAGACGGTAGCAGGATGTGGAATGTGGTACTCCTACCAGGCTACCACCCTTCACACAGACCTGGCATGGGTACAAGACCAAACACCCTTATCTGGACCGTCTGCTGGAAAATTGATCAACTGTGTACTTGTCATTGTTGTCAACAACATATATGCACCAGTAAAGCCTCCAGTGAGTCCAATTTGAATTTTGCGATTGGCAGCCAAAACACAGGTCAGACGGAAGCCAGGGGCATGATAGATCAATCACGCACGACCAGGAAAGTCAAAATTAACAAAAAGTTAAAAACTATCATCCTGCTTCACAAACACCGAACGCTATCCAATTGTATTGTTCATATCCCTAGCACAGAGGTCCTTGAGAAAGTCCTGATTCTGGAGAGAGAGAGAGAGAGAGAGAGAAGGCTGATGTGTCTGTCACACTTTTGTCTTTTCTTTTTCGTTTTTGGTTCCCATCGTTATAAACATTTACAATGATTACATAAGTTAACCTGGGTTTTGAACTTTTGACACTCCTAAGCTGGGTTAGCAACGAAAAATACTCTTTACGAGGTACTCGGACTTTTGACTCCATAACACGATCTGGAAGAGGAGATGCCACGAGACCAGAGACACAAAAACGTCATATATGTTCCCGAGGTATGCAAAATTTGCAAACTTGGTAAGGGCTTTGTAAACTCATAGAAATTGAAATAAGGTTATTTGCATACATTCCGGGAGTAAGGCCATAATTCACAAGAGCACTCTATTGTTATGGTTCGAGGAGGTAGAGTCAAAGATTCGCCTGCTGTAAAATACCATTATATTCGAGGCGTGAAAGACTTACTAGTACAAGGAATTCCTAAATCGACTACAGAGCAGCATAGCCAGGAACCACAAAGAAACAGAGCAAGCACAACAAGGATGAAACCAAGGGAATCTTGAGAGGCAGCGGATACGAGCAGAAATTGGGGCGCAGAGATGCCCCGGCCACCAGACAGAAGAGAGAGAAAGAAAAAGGGTAGGATTTTTTGCATGCCCAGGGGTACCCCAGGCGGTCGTGTGAATTCCACGGGTGCCTGGTCAGGCGACTTGCATGGGTGCCCCTCGTAGCCTAGGCTTAATAATCAACTCGTTATCTTCTTGTCTTAAAAAAAGGGGGATGGCCTTCAAGGTATCATCATCGAACTGACCGGCCCCCGGTGATTCAGAGATTTAGCTCATCTAATTCCATCAGGATTTGAACTTACCACCATACATGCAAGCTCACGTCGTGCGGGCGGTTCCCTACGTGCGGCGCACGACGTGTGCGGAGAACGACCGGWCACCMCCCTCAGAAAAAAAAAAAAGGCCGGGGTCGAAACGGTGCGTTTGAGGCCCCCCGCCAAAATTATAAGCGAGATGAAAAATAAAATTACAGGAGTACTGCCTCACCTTGCTCCTCCTCCCCTTCCTCATCCTCCATGTCTCCTCCTCCCTTCTCCTTTTCATCTCCTCCTCCTCCTCCTCCTCCTCCTCCTCCTCCTCCTCCTTCTGCCCTTCCTCATCCTCCTTGTCTCCTCCTCCTCCTCCTCTTCGTACTTCCTCATCTTCCATGCCTCCTCGTCTCCTTCCCTGCCTCGTGTCCTGCCCTTCCTCGCCGTCCATGTCTCCTCCTCCTCCCACTCGTCCTCCTCCTCCTGCCCTTCCTCTTTTCCCTCCGTCCATCTCTTCGCCTCCCCCATCTCGACTACTCCTCCTCCTCGTCCTCCTCGTCCACATCCTCCTCCTCCTCTCCATATCCCCCTCTCCTTGCCATATCCACATCTTCCTGTCATACGGCCCCCCGTTCCTCCTCCCAAAAAAAGATAAAATAATAATAATAGAAATAAAAAACCTGCACGATTCCGCACAGGCACCCCCTGCATGGAACTCCTTACGGAACTCCGCACGAATGTGCGGTCGTGCGTTTGCAAGTATGTTTAGAACACATGGGCTGCATCACTGCGTGGTGTCTATTATCTATGTCAACTGGCGAACAGTTTTATCCATACTACATTTAATTATTTTAATTATTAATATCATTTATACTAATTTTATAGTGTTTTGTACTGTTCTTTAATATTTATCCATGTACTTGCTGGCTTACTCGTCAGATCGAACCTCGTGTTCGGGCACAGTTAGGCTTTAAAAGTTTGTAGTAAACATACGTGTGATTCACCAGGTTCACAGGCGTTGAGTTGCCACCAGCTGTAGCAGTCATTTCCACAGTAAATTCCCCACTTTTCAAAACTGTGTACGTTGTAACAACATCCAAAGTCCCTGGAAAACCTGCAAAAGAAAAAAGTTTTAAAAGTTAAAAGAAAAACACACACGGTATCAAACAAGAAAGTCAGAAAAGACCAACTGGGCCTAGCTCAGTTCGTAAACCCCTGAACTGAATTGTTGATGAAATACAGACCAGGTGCTGAGTTTGAAGTTTGAACTCCGCTGGAAGCAGATGAGTGACATACTACAATTATTCTGAATAACCTCGGGCTGGTCAGTTCTATGATGATATCTCAACTTTCTCAAGAAAGTCAGAAAAACTTTAAAAACTTAAAAAGTCAATAAAGGACTGTCCATTGCCACTCCCTGTCTATCTGATGGCATACTCACACTAGCACTTTCCTAAATGTCTTTGACTGGAATTGCGGCCAAATGAGGATGAATCTCACCGCAATCACATCCAGGACTCGGTAGAAAAAGTCCTCGTGCGAGTATGAGCTGAGCGAGGGCTGCATGGCTCCGTATGTTTTCCAACGCTCCCAGTGGAAGATACAATGGATCTGACCTGTGGCCATACGGGCATGTTTCATTCCCCCCCCCTCCCAACAAAAAAGTCCGTTTGGAATCTGAAGACCAGAGACAAGACTGTCCCAATGCTCACGTGGACTGCAGCCATGCACGAGAATCATGGCTTTGTTGCTCTGTTCCAGACCCTGGCTGCAGCCATCCACAAGATCAGGCAGCGGATGATGTCCCTTTCTAGATGATTAGGGCAGATTCTGCATATGATGAGCTATTGGGATCTGTTAGTTTTCTGCGTTCGTGGAGCCCACTGGTTGAACCCAAGGGCCATGTACGCAATGAGCCACTACGGCTACAAATTTTGGCTGGTTTGAGTTTCGCGTTTTTTTATAGTTTTCTGCGTTCGTGGAGCCCACTGGTTGACCC